AAAAAAAAAAAAAAAAAAAAAAAAAAAAAAAAAAAAAAAAAAAAAAAAAAAAAAAAAAAAAAAAGAAATAAAGGAAATAAAAGCCCCGTTCCAGTGAATGTGTTTCCACAAGCAATTCAATTTTTGACTCCCCCAAGGTCAAGCGCGTGTGCTTGGTTGGAAAGGGAGGTGGGAAAAGCAGTTTCCAAGCCATAGGGTGTGGTGGGTGTGGCGGGAGAAGTGCTGTCCGTGGGGTGTGGGTGGCACTCTGCAGCCCTGGGAACCAATTCCAGGGAATCTTTGTTCCTCTGAATCCGGGGCTGCGTCACAGGGAAATGCAAGCGAGCCAGGGAAGACAATGGTGAGAAGAATTGGGTTTCTGATCACTGTGCATTTTGTTAATTAGTGAATTCAAATAGTTTTATTTTTACCAAAAACAGAATATCTTTATTCCAGTAAAGACAACTGTTGACTTGAGATATATATAAATATATATATATATATATTATTTGAATGGTTTATATCCTGTTGCTCTAACTACATAAAATGGAAACATGTTGCAAGTTGTGTCATTCCAATATACAAAATAAATGACTTTTCCCTGCATGCTGCCTGGGTATGTTGTGATTTGAMTTAAGAGTTATATTTGAATTGCCTTATTCAAAAGGTTGTATGTTACCTAACTGGGGAATGACCTGGCACTGTTCATCACATTACATGTGTACTTGATGCTGTGTTATGTCAAATTCAGATGAGTTGTCTGTCATCTATGTATTTTGTGGGAGACCTTTTATCTTGTTAAACTGTGATATGTAAACCTTCATTGCCTGAAATAGTCACAGTTGTATAAATCAGTGTCTTCAGCTGTTTTCCTAATTTTAACACAATTCCTAACACAAAATATAGATGTTTGTAAATTCTTCATTCATTTGGTCTATYTTTATGTGCGAGGCTTTTTTTAATCTGGCAAAGCCGTAAGATAAGGCAGCATCCCCGGAATTTTTCAATCACCGCTCAGCTACATTTCTGTCCCTCGGCAAGAGGCAACAACCAATTTTCAGCAGCAGCCACAATTGGCATTGGGGATGTCTGTTTATTGCCATTATCTCTCCTGGCTCGSATGGGCCATTATCACTGCAGAACGCGATGATTAATGACAAGCCAGACGCGACACTTCTGCAGCGACACCGGCTGGGTGGAGAGGGAGAGGGTGGGGGTCCCTGCAGGCACAGTGCGGCCAGGAAACAGCTCCTTTTGGGGAACAGAGCCCCAAAATCCCATCTCCAGCTGGCAGACGACTGCGGCATTTCTGGAAATTCCGCCCCGCATGCCGAAAATCCCSACTGAAACAGGTGTTGGGATMRTTCAAACATTCCATCCAGAGTCAGMCGCGGTCCCTGCTCAGCTGTGCAGGTGCCACATCACCCTGAACACAGGTAGCAGGAATGTCGCTGGGGCACAAAGCACGCCGAGGCGCCTCAGCCGGGCTGTGAAAGCCCCCACTGTGTTCCTCCACCCTTCCCAATTTGGGCTGCAAACGAAACGCTTTGTGTCTAGTATCCATAAGAAACACATGGCCAGAGAAAAAGAATTCCTAGAGCAGGGCAAGCTGGGGTCCAGGGCTATTGAGTCACTTCCCGGGGCTTCGAGTGCGAAAAAAATGCCCGTCCCATCCACAAACGCACCTCACTTTATTTTTGGGGTTTTTTTTTCTCCATTCAGTTTTGACATGTTTCAGGTTGAAGGCTGTCAAAAGGGGAAAACGCAATGGGAAGGGCTGGGGTAGCACGGGGAGGAGGCTGCCAGAAGCAGCGCGGTGCAGCACCCCGCAAACGGCCCAGAGCACTGGGGAAAACAGGCTTGYTAGGGACAAGCGTGCGGTAAAAATTCTGATTTTGGCTTTAACCAAAAAAACTGGGGGGGGGGGTCACTATAAAACAGGCAGAAGAATCTGTAGGCAGCTTTGTGCTCCTTGAACTGTTCTGTCACYTGYGTGGCAGTTTAGGATTTTCTCTTGCAGTGCTGCAACAGAAACCCAGCAAATATCACTGACCTCTCAGTTCAGCAGGAGGATGGAAACTGAGGCTTCTCCCATGAGCTTCCACAGGGAAAAGTCTAAAGAAGGGGCTGGGCTCACACTSTCACCTCAGAGCAAGCAGGTTAGAAGTGTTCTGTGCTGCAAGGCCAGGGTGACAGGGCTCTGATTTTGGCTTTAACCAAAAAAACTGGGGTGGGGGGGGGTGGGGTGTCACAGTGTGACCCCAAACGTGTCACCCGCGGGGGTCGGTGTCACCCACGGGCGGGGACAGCGGCACAGCTCAGCGCGGGTAACAGGGGGCGTGGTCCCGCAATGCCCCGCCCCTCGTCTCCCATTGGCTGCGGCCGGCCCCGCCCCTGCCGCCATTGGCTGTTGCGCGGGCGGGTTTCCCGCGCTCGGGCGGGCGCGATGGCGGCGGAGCGGGCAATGGAGCTGGTGCGGGAACTGCACCGCGCCGCCGGCGGGCACCTCCCGCCCTTCCGGGTGAGCGGGCACCGGGACACCGGGAGCACCGGGGACACCGGGACACCGGGAGCACCGGGAGCACCGGGACACCGGGAATAGCGGGGACAGCGGGGTGGGCCCCGCTCTCACTGAATGAATGTGTCCGCTGTTGCAGACGGACGTGCTGCGGCAGGCGCTGGAGGAGATGCGGGCGCTGTACGAGCGGAACCAGGCGGATGTGTGAGTTGGGCTCCTGGTCCCGGCGTGTCTCCCGGCCCGCAGCTCTCCTTCTACGCCTCTTTCTCATCATACTCTAGGTCCGAAGCGAAGTCGGGACGGACAGATCTGATTTTCCTCATCCGGTTCCGGCACTGCTGCCTGCTCCGGAATCAGCGCTGCCTCCTGGCTTATCTGTGAGTGCGGCGGGCGCAGGCGGGGGCTGCTGCCTCCTTTTTGCCATCTCCAGGGTCCCCAGGGACAGCAGTGGAGCTGGTTCTCCTTGTGTTCATTGCTGGTACTACCACAAAGAGAAGGCTCTGCTTCCTGCTGCTCTTTAAAAGTTTAGATGATTTTAAAAAGTAAAACGTTTCAGTGCTGCCTGGGGATGTTGCCAGCACTCACCTCAGCAGAGTTTTTGGGTTTGCCCCATTTCTTCCCCTAGGTACGACCGGCTGCTGCGGATCCGAGCACTGAGGTGGGAGTATGGCAGCGTTCTGCCCAACACCATCCAGTTCCACATGTCAGCTGAGGAAGTGAGTCAGCCTTGCTTCAAACCCTTCCCCTCTTTCCATTTATTCCTCCTGATGGATTATTTAGAGCARTCARAAYTGGGTAGTATTTTYATATAAACGTGACATTTAACATGCMTTTYTGTAAGTAATTTTTTTGTGTATTYATTGTGTATGGGTAYAAMCCTRTTAATKYCCACAGGTGGAGTGGTTCAGTCGGTACAAAAAGTCTCTGGCTACCTACATGAAGTCAGTAGGAGGAGAGGAGGGACTGGACCTCACACAGGACATTAAACCTCCTAAAAGCCTGTACATTGAGGTAAGTGCATGATTTCTGGTTTCTGTCTGTGAATAAACCTTTTCCTGACCATCTCTTTTCAAGCATTTCATCCCCATCCCAAATCTGCTCATCAAGAAAAGCCTTTGAGAGCACCAAAGCTTTCACAGGCATCTTTTACTCTGCCTACCAGTATTTTACTCCTTCTACCAAGAGCACAAATTATGTTGAAAGATGGCATTTCTGGTCTGCAGGGAGTTTGTGGTGGGGTGGGTTGTTATCCAGTAAGAAGTTTTTGCAGAAACTTAACTAACTAAATCAACTGGAAACACGTTCCCCCTGTCACCTGGGGGGACTGTGGGTTTTTTTTTCCCAATGGACTCTTGACAGAGCTGTGTTCCCACTTTGCAGGTGCGGTGTTTAAAGGACCATGGGGAATTTGAGATTGATGATGGCACTACCATCCTGTTGAAGAAGAACAGCCAGGTACCTGTGACACGAGTGTGGTCTGTTCTCTTCCTTCCCCTTCACTCCAGTGACATCTCCCTGCTTATCCTGGCCTTGCAGCACGTCCCAGTCCTTTCATATACTGCAAGCTGTGTGCATGGTCCAGGCTGCAGCTCATGGTGCCGTGAGGCACTGGATTTACAGCACAACAAACAGAGCTGGTTGTGTGCAGCAACAAATTTAACAAATTCAAGGAGGGTTTTTGTGTGTTTCTGTGCAGCATTTTTTGCCCCGATGGAAATGTGAGCAGTTAATCAGACAAGGAGTCCTGGAGCACGTTCTGTCCTAAGGGTGCAGAACAGAAGGGACACTCTGCCTTGGTGGCCTGCCCACGATGGGGACCAAACTTTGGTGTGTGCAGGACTTCAGACACCTCAGTATTTCTGCAGAGGCACCCTGTCACTCCTCCTAACAGCCTTTGGTGCCTTAAAACCACATTGGTCAGCTCCTCATGAGCATGGGGTGCATAGTGGTAATGGARCAATCCAGGATAGTGGGGAGGAGGCACTATCCAAGCCCCATAACCAGGGTTTGTGAATGCATTTTTGTCTGGAGTAGTTCATGCTGTTCATGGGAGTAAGACACCAGCTGACTGGGCTCTACAAGCCAGGAAAGCTCTGTGGCTGCAAAATAAAGAATTGCTTCAATCTCTTGGGTTTTAAGAGTTAATGTGGTGGTGTTCATTCAGCACTCTAATCTCCAGCCAAACCCATCTCGATCCTGCAGTGTGATGTTATTTAAGTMTCTCAGTGGAACTGCTCCTCCAAGTGTCAGATAAGGCTGCACAAGCTGCTTTCCAGGATTAGTCTCATCTCCCATCAGAGCCCCATAGAAGTTGTTTCTTGAGGTGCTGTGTGAATGATCATTACAGACTGGGCCATGGGCCTGGGTTTCTCCAGTGTGCTTGGGCTGTGCCTYTGTTTCTCTGAAGAATCTCCTATCCCAGAGCACTGGTCTGGCAAGGCCTGGGGCTGTTTGGAGTAGCGGTGGGAAAGGGAGCAGAGGGTTTTAAGGATTCCCGACAGCACAAAAGCAGAACAAGGCTGAAGAGCTGCTTTCTCTGTGTGGTTTTTCTAATGGAGCAGCTCAGCTCTTGCACAGTGTCAGAATATTTGCAAAAGTATCAGCCCTAGGTAAGGCTAGAGGTTTGCTTGGGCCCCAACCCAGACTGGAGCTGAAAAAGCAAATGGAAGAATGCAGGAACAGGATAAATGCCTGGGGCACCATGGCATCACTCAGTTCTGCTCMCTGCAGAGACAACAGTCTGGTTGGTTTTGGATCCCAGGCTCAGGCTCTAAGAGGGCCAGAGTCTTTCCAGACCCTGAGAACAGCTCAGCAGAGGAGTAAAAGTTCAGCAACTGGTGGGGAAGGTTATTGAAATACAGAGCAGACTGGGCATGGCAGGAGGTGCTGCAACATCACAAACATTTTAATGCCACAACAGAGCTTTCCTGCTCAGAGTGAGCCAGGCACAGGGACCTGCAAGCCCTTCTGCCCTGGCTTTTGAGGTGTAACTGTGGCTCCAACATCAACCATCTCCAAAGAGGGAGCACCTGCATCATCACCAAACACTGTGCCAAAGAAAACCATGAGAGATGGCTGCCCTGAGACAGACCTGACATAACAGCACACTGCCACTGAGAAAGGCACCAAGGCTGCTGCTTTCAGCTGGAAAATGCASCTATCTGCAGGACAAATTTCCTTAAAGGGCTCTGGGTTCCCCATCTTCTGTTTTCTGCACAGGAAAATCCTGGCAAGACCAGAGAGGACAAGGCTGATTTCCCAACCCAGCCATACCTCCTGTTCCACACCTGACCAACAACCTGGCCAGGACCAGGGGCTGCCACTGCAGATRTCCCATCACCCACTCAGAGATGCTGGTGTGATTTTTGCAATAAGCTGCTTCAGAGCTGAGGCTTGCTCCTCCAGCAGCTGGTTCTTTTCCTCCATGCTTTTCTGCTTCAGCTCAGCAGCCTGCAGGGCCATTGCAAACCTCCTGTTCTCCCCACGGAGCTCTTCAATCAGCAGTTTGTTCCTGGAGAGCTGGGCCTGGAGCAGGGACAGGAGGTTCAGTTCAGCATCCCATGCAGGGGTACGAGATGGGCAGGGTCACACAGGACTGGCCCCTCTTGCTCTCACCTGGGCATCTCTGAGCTGAGCTGCCCTCTCTGCCAGCACAGCTTCAGCATTCCTCAGACTGTGCTCCAGCCCCTCTGCCTGCTCCACAGCTGCCTGCAGCAGATGCTCATGTTCCTCCTGCAGTGGGCAACAAAGCCTGTCYTTGAGTTGTCCCAGCACTCTGCTGGCCTCTGGCAACCCTAAGCTTGTACAATTCCCCAGCACCCTGTTCACAGACCCTCACATCAGAGGTGCAGCATACAAAGAGCAGTAGGACARATGTCTGGAGCAGTGCAACCTTCCCTCTGTCTGCACCCAACCAGTTTTAAGACAAGGCACAGATTTTCCAGTGATATTGTCTATAAAAATAAGCCATTGGCCTCCCCTCACCCAATGTCCAAGAAGAGGTATCGTCTCCTTGGATGCAGTCCTTGTGTGTGCTCATTATAATTCCTTAGGTTATAATTTGGTTTTTTTGCCCAGAAGACAAACTCACAACCCAACAGCTGGTTGCTCAGTGTCCCAGAGATAAACACACCTTTTTGAGTGCAGGGCAGTGACTGGGTTCATGAAAAATTAAAGTTGAATTTGAAGGTAAGTACATTTTCCATGTGGGTWTTTTATGCACAGCATCTCCCACCCAAACCTGTGGTGGATTCAAGCACAGGCAGTGTTCCCTTCACAGCACCCTTGGCTGAGCTGCAATTCCCTCYTTACCTGGGTCCTGAGCAGCTGCCTGCACGTTTGCTCAGCCTGCTGCTGGAGGCTCTCCTGGAGCTGCTGAGTCTTGCACTGTTCCTCTCTCAAGGTGTTTTGCAGCTGCTCAAACTGCTGCTTTGGCACCATGYTGTTGATCTGGGCCTTGGCCTGCTGCAGCTGCAGGGCGTGCTGGCTCTGGGCCAGGCTCAGGCTTGCTTTGGCTTCCAAAAGCTGTAACACAGAGAGGTTGACAGCTGGTTACAGCTTTGAGCCAACAGTGGGACAGGCCCAGGGTGTGTTTTGGGTGAGAGGAGAGGTTATGCAGCACCCTCAGCCCTTGTCTCAGCTCTCACAGTAGAGCTGCAGGACCATGGGTGCTCACTGGGCAGCCTGCAAGGCAAGGGATTGAGGGGATTGAGAGCTGCAGAAGGAGAAACAGAGACCCTCTGCTGAGAAATGCTACCCTTGGTGAGCAGTGAGCAGCAGGAGTTGCTGGAGGGATCCTCTGGGAGGGAATCCCAGCACCAAGGGCCACAARGGCAAGAGATGGGATTTCACAGGGGCAGCTGCAAGCAAGGACTGTCCCCAGCTGCACCAAACTGGCTTTGGCCATATCTGAGCAGGAGGGACAATCCTCTGTCCACACAAAGAGGGAAAGGACAGCTTTGTTCTGACTGGGGAAGGTGTCCAGCACAGCCCACACCAACATCCCAGAGGCCACTCAGCAGCCTGCCACCAAATGAAGGACACCCACCTTTTCCTGCGAGGCCTGGAGCTGCTGCTGGAGCAGCTCCATCTCCATCCAACATGCTGCATGCTGCTGGTGGTGCTCCAGCCTTGCAGCAATCTCTGCTCCTTGCAGCCACTCAGCCTTCACAAGCCTCTGGGCAGTGCCAGGGYCATCCTTGTGCTCAGGGGGTTCACAGCCCAGCTGATGCCTCTTGAAATCTGGGTGAGAGAGCTCCTCCTTGCCCTTCTCACTCTGAAAAGGTTGAGAGAAAAAAAACAAAACACAAATCATGCAAAGAGGCAACAAAGACTGACACGTCCAACATGTGAGCATGGGGGTTTGATTCTGGGAGTGAGAAAAATCAGAATGAAAGCAGTCAGTCATTAAAGACTTTCCATTCTGTAAGACCTTCAGTGGCTTTTGTCGCATGAATTTTTACTGCTTTACAAGTTATAAGATGAAGGGGGTTCTTTAAAGCAAGACTGGGTCTGAACGTTTGAAATAAACACTTTTCCTCTCCTCTATGAGCAGGTGCAGTTTGTGTTGCTCTAAATCCTTCAGCCAAGAGCCTGTCAGTTGGRGTTCATGGTTTCTTACTCTTAACTCTTAACCTTCTCTCTACCCAACTCATTCCCATGTTTCCTGCTGGGAAGAGGGATATGATCAACCTCAGGCCAGAGAGCAGCAAAGCACAGYCCCCACGAGGAGAGCCCTGTTTTGGGTATCCCACATCTGGTTTTGACCTGCAGCAGGAAGCAAAGCCAAGCCAAAACAGATATGGCCCTGAATTGATCCAGGACTGAGTCAAGGTGTCTCTGCCCCAAGAGGTGACTCAGCCCAGTCAGTAAAAGACATAACAGCTTTTGCATTTGTCTACTTGTGCTCAGCAATATTTATTAATTGGAAGTATCCTAGTTCATAGTCCACTTCATGTTACTACTGCAATAGTAACAGGGCAGAACAAAGCTGCTGTCAGAAAATCCAGAGAGAACACAACTGCTGTTAGTGTTCTGCACCATCGTGGTGTTAAGCAATGTTGTCTCTCACAAGGCATCTGAGTTGTTTTTTTTTTTTCAGCATCTTAGCTCTGCAAACGGCCTTGGCACTCAAACCTCACACTCTTGAGCTCTGGGTTCATTTTCCAACTACTGCATGACATCTTTGAGCTGCATCAGCTCCAGTTTAAACCTGTTCCTTTTCCTCTCCAGCTCTATTTTGACAGCTTGAATGTCATGTTTCCTCCCATGCTGTTACACCACTTTGTCTCCCGGAGCTTTTTTCCTCCTCTTCCCACCCTGCAGGTCAGCTCTATGTGCTGAGATGCTGCTCTGTCTGCTGTGTGAAGGCATTTAACTCTGCCTCCTTCCCAAGCACATCCTCTTGTCTGTCAAGATTCCATTTCTCCCTGACAAATGATTCCCACTTTGGCTCCAGCTTCTAGATTGGACAGGCCATTTGTTACAACAAACATCTGCACTGTCTGCACTGCTCTGTCCATCACACCGTTTTTCATTTCTTCTCTGTCCCTTTGGTGAGGAATTTGCAACACAAGATTTTGGTCTACCTGCTCATCTGAGTCTTAGGGGATCAGCTTCTTTCCCCCCAGAGGACAGCCCTTCAGACACTTTGTCCCACTCTCTCTGCATTTCATCCTGATCCCTTTTYAATCTTCTCCCATTTCATCCTGGTGCCTTTTGAATCTTTTTATACACAACAGCCAGCATTTCACACATCTTGGCTTGTTCACCATTAACCTTTTCTTACAATTTTAGCTGCCTCTGCTTCCACAGAGACTTGGTCTTTTTTCTTAYGCTTCCACTGCTGCATCTTTCCTAAATACAAAAACCCTTTTGCTGGTCTGGGTTTGATATCACAGCTTGAAAAGCCCAGCCAGCCTCTGAATGTACATTTGCTGGAGATGCARCACAAAAGGGTTTTTATGTTGCAAAGTCAAGGCAATTTGTTAAACTTTACACAAAGTTCCCGCACTTTTTGCACTTCTCAAAGACTCACAGCCATTACATCTTTTCCAGCAACTCTGAAAGCTCCYCTCTGCAGTCAGTCCATCTGCCATTCACCAGAGATAAAACAGCTTAAATGCCTTGTATTCCTGTTATTTGGGTTTGTTTTCCTGGTACACCACAGATCTCAGCCAAGTCACCTCCTTTCTCCCTCACCTACCCCACATCTCACCCTAAAACAGGGATAATGACCTAGCAAAATCCTCTGCTYRTGTATTGCCAAGGGGAACTSTGCTCCCAAAGGGAGACACAGCAGRRAAGAGGCAGGAGGAAAGGAARATAARCAGTCAYCCAGTGACAACCTCATTCTTTCAAATGCCAGTCTGTTTTGGGCTATAGAGAAAAATTTAAGACACTTTTTACTGCTTTTAAGATAGCAAGTTGTGATCATCTAGCAAGTAGAGGCAGKTTTGCCAAAGGCCAGGGCATCATCTGCACTGTTCCTCATATCCTTCCTCCACTGCAGAGTGGTTCCTTGTCAGGATGTGGGGATGAGAAGCTGCTGCTCCCCACAGCTCCCCTGTGAACACCAGAAACTCCAGGATTTGATGTGCACAAAGCAGGCAGAAGAATCTGTAGGCAGCTTTGTGCTCCTTGAACTGTTCTGTCACCTGTGTAGCAGTTTAGGATTTTCTCTTGCAGTGCTGGAACAGAAACCCAGCAAATATCACTGACCTCTCAGTTCAGCAGGAGGAGTAAACRTGGAAACTGAGGCTTCTCCCATGAGCTTCCACAGGGAAAAGTCTAAAGAAGGGGCTGGGCTCACACTCTCACCTCAGAGCAAGCAGGTAAGAAGTGTGCTGCAAGGCCAGGGTGACAGGGCTCTGATACAGCCCATGCCATCAGGAGACACCTGGCTGCTTCACCTCTAGGTGATGTCCCTGATGTCACTGTGACAGCAACACTCAGATATCTGGCTCCCCACAAGACCCACACAAACATTTCATAAGGTCACAGCGATTTCCACAAAGCCTTTGCAGCCAGTGAGTGCTCCAAACCCTCCCACCAGCTGAGACAGGCTGGAGAAACACATAAAATAACCCCACACAAAGTGATGAGGCACCACCCTGCTCCCCAACGTCAGTTCTCTCTCCTGCAACCCTACTGGAGCAGGAGTCTCACCAGTCATCCTGCAGCAGCTTTGTGAGCAGGCAGGACATCTCTCCCCACCCCACTCACCTCAGTTTCCAGCTGCACCTTCAGGTCCTGCAGCTGCTCTTGGAGCTGCTCCACTGGGAGTGACATCTCTGTGAACACAGAAGTAGGAAAAAGAGGGCTTGGAGAGGGGTGTGTTGGCAGAGAGGAACCCTGTGAGGACAGGGCTACAAGACAGGACTGATCAGAAKGGCTGCAGCTTCATCCAGTCCATACAACCCCAAAAACTAGAGACTGCCCCTCTATCTGGCAACCAGTCCCAGGSCTGCATCAGCCCACTTGGCCAGAAGCTTTTATCTAATGCTCAACTTGAATCTTCCAACCACAGTTTGGGAAAACTTCCTTTCTCACATTGTGTTTCCTCAACATCCTCAACAGTGAAAATCTGCCTGTTCACCCACAGCTGCCWAGTTCACAGGTTACCATCACCAACACTCGAGCTGGAAAAGCCTCCTTTCCTCCTCCTCCCCACCACCCATCTCCTTCTTCCCTCCCATGGCTGCCCAGTACCAGAACTGACAGCAGCAGCTCAGGCACAACAATCCTCCCCACGTTCCCACATAAACTTGGATCCAGAGGGAATTTAGTTCTTGCTGAGAAGGTGGGCACTGAGCCCTCATGCACATTACCTGCTGCTGGCAGCCCTCCCTCAGCCCTGCTGTCCTGCAGCCTGTGCAGCTCCCTTCGCAGCGCTGTGTTCTGCTCGTACAGCACCTGAAACAAACCCTGCTCAGGACACASGACASAGCATGGACAGCCTCCCCCAGCCCCAGCACAGGGGGAATTTTCTTCCTTCCCAAGCAAAGGCAGGCATGAGAAGAACATCTGGAAAAGTCAAAGAAGAACTACAGCCCCCAGACTACAAAGACCACCACTTGTGGACACTCTAAACCACAAATCAACTGCTCCTGAATGCAAAAGCACACAAAATCAGGGGGTTTTTGCAGACACCTCAGAGGGTTAGGCCTCCTGACACCCTCCTGACCTAAACAACCATTGCTATATTCCAACACATAAGAAACATCATGATTTCAGCACAAGCCCAGAGGTTTGTGTTTACATCCTCAAGATTCTCCCGTGGGCATGCAGGATGGCCAACAAGTACTACTCTATGCAGACAAGGCAACCAGCTTTATTTACACGGGAGGAAGGCCCACAGGCCTCTGGGAGGGAACATTTACAGGTTGCAGAAGGAATAAAACAGGCTAAGAAGGTGCTGATCCCATGGGAAGCACAGCACGAGGCTGGAAGCAACAACATACAAGGCATCCTGCCTTTTTCTGGACCATATACTTTGAACAGATACCAAATTACATCCCACATCCTGCCACCCAGGAAACTGATGCAAGAGACTATGAACTAGGATACTTCCAATTAATAAATATTACTGAGCAGGTGCACACAAATGCAAACCCAGTTTGTTTCAGCTCCATTCTAAACAGGAAGRGGGAGGCTGACAGCATTCAGCAAGGGTAAAGGATAAACCCGAGTGGGTGCCTTCACAGGGGCAGCTGAAGCCTGAAGGCCAAACCTCTCCATCCATCAGCATTCCCATGAACAACTCTGGGGCTGCTCAACGGGAGGAAAAATTGCAGCAGYGAGCATATTCAACCCTCTGGTGCCACCTGGAGCAATGCTGCAYCAGATAAAGCTCCAGAACCTTCGCCTTTAATTACAGGTTCAGGAGGGGCTGCCTGATGCATCCATGGAATGGCTTTGCTGAGAGTCTCCATTTCAGCCCTTACTGGGGGGATGTGTGTCCCCACAGCACTTGGGAACAGAGGGGCAATGTGACAAGCACAGGACTCGAAGAACAGAGCACCCAGCAACTCACAACATGCAAGATACACAAGTTACTTAAAAATGGGAGAAAGGAAACAGATGTTGTGCTCATGCCCCAGAGAGTCCCAAGCCCTGGGAGGGAGCACAACACTGCAGCAGATACAATACACACAGCACCAATTCTTGGACCACACACACACACACACACACACACCAGATATCTGGACTGGCTCACCTTGACTCTCTAGCAGAGTCCAGCAGGAACAAGTTTTGTTGGGTGTTTTAAAGTGGGGGCAAGGAGAAGGGAAGTGAAAAACAAAAAGATAGAAGACTTTAGCTGGTAACATGCTTCCCAAATAAGGAGAACAGCTTTCTCCTTGTGCTCAAGAAGTCCAGGAACAGAGGCACATGGCTCCCTAACAAAATAGTCCTTGGATGTGGGCAGGAAGGCATTTATGATCCACTGCCATGCCCAAATCTCACCAAGGCAAACAAYCCATTTTGTAGGAGGGCTTCAGGAGTGAGGAGCCAGGTCTCTGAGCAAGGCAAGAGGGATCCCTCTGCCCCCTTGCACTCCCCCAGAGCAGAGTGCCCAAGAGATGTGCTGCAGAGAGCAGCACTGTCACATCAGCACTGCTGGAGAGCTCTCCACACGTACCTGGCACTGCCGCTYGTACTCCAGGACAATCTCAGCAAAGTGCTCGTTCTGTGTCAGGAACTCTGGGCTGTGGGGCTCCCCCTGCTCCAGCTGCACAAGCACAAGGAAACACTTCTCATCAASAGAATTATCACCTCTGCAAATGGAGAGTCCAAAGCTCTACAAAATCACTGGTGCTACACCCACAGATTCAACAGCAGACTCCCTACAGGATCCATCACCTGTGGGGTGGTCAGAAAGAGGAGGAAAAACATTTTTCTCCACATGTGAGATACCAAAATACAGGCAGGTTATTCCATGTAACAAGATTGCAGACTCATTTCTTTTCCCAGATTCATTTTAGGAGTGGAAAATACTAAAACAAACCCTTTAATTCAACATTAGTGAAAAAATAAAACTCTTCTGGAAACCAAACTCCAAAGTTTTCACTTGCAGATTGCAGATCTGTAGAATTCTCTACAACTGCAAACTTTCCTCACCCCCCCCTTTTTTTTTTTTTCCCCAAGCTTTCCAGGTTGTCATTAATGTGCAGGAGAGATCACAGAAGGGGAGATCATAGCAACTGATCCAAAACATGCAAGATCAATTTTTTTAAGAGCTTCTGAAAAGTTTCTATTTAACTGCAACAGAGAAAGGTTACCTTATCCTTCACAATGTGGTTGAGTTCTTTTTGCAGCTCCAACACCATTTCCTCAGAGGCTGACAGTTTCTCAGCCATCTCTGTGACCTTGTTTTGCAGCTGTGTGTTCTCCTGCAGATAAAATGAAGATTTTCTTGATGCAGCAGGTCCTGACACGGCAGGATGGGTTTATCAGGTCCTCAGCAGGAAGCTGTAAAACAACTGGCACATCAGCATGCCAAAAACAGCACAGCTCCCAGGACACCCTGGACAAAGGCAGCAAGGCCTGTGCTATCTCCATCTGTATTCTGCACAGCAAGGCCTGTGCTATCTCCATCTGTATTCTGCACTGAACAGAACTGGGGTAATCCCAGCATGCAGACACCATCACCTTTGCTTTTGGCATGGTTCCTGGCACAATTTTAGCTTTGGTTTTCAGGTGTTACCAAGGGCTAAACCACTCCCAAAAGACAACAGATCCATTTGATAATGTCATGGCAAGGTAACAGGCTCTGCATTTAATGCAATAGTATGGATGTGGCTGATGCTTCTTCTGCACAAAATTCCCATCCTTCCCAACAACACCAACATGAACCATCTATATTTGTCACCACCTCTGCTTTGCTGCCCCTGAAGGAGCAAAGATGTTTGATCCAGGGCAGTTTTACTTACCTTCATCACATGGTTCAGTCTCCCTTGCAGGCTGGCCTCTTTGCCCTGRAGGAGACGTGTATCAGCCTCCAGCTTCACCTGGTGACTCACTGCTTGCTGCAAGAGCAGCTCTTTTGCCTCTATTTCTGCCTGAAAATCCCTGGGGGGAGAAAAGCAGCACAGCTGGCACAGATRGAGCATATTCCTGGATAGCCACAAAGTACAGACAAAGCAGGAGATGAGAGCTGGATTGGAAGGATGCTGAGACCATGGTGTGTGGAGGGGGGCCTTCAAGGATTTTCCTGCCATTGACACGTTGGCAAAACAAGTGAGAGATTCAAAAGAGAGACTGGGATGAAAGGGAGAGGCTGTGGGCACATTTTCYCCACCCCAGCAAAAGAACCCCTCCTACCTGAGCTTGCCCTGGGTGTGCTCCAGGGCAATGTACTGCTCATCCAGCTCCCTGCCCAGCTGCAGGCAGTGTCTCTCTGCTTTCTCCAGACTGAGCCTCGCCTTGTCCCTCTCCCTGGCGATCTGCCTCACCTGGATCCTGCAGACACAACCAGGAGGGGGTTAAGAGACCCCACATGCACCCCACAGAGCAGCAGGGAGCTCACCCTCACCAGAGGCACTGCAGTTTGTATCCATAGGAGGTGACAGCTGCGTGCTGAAGGGCACTCCTGGGGACCATGAGTGTGTTGTCCAAAGCTGCAGGCAGCCCTGCCAGGCTCACCAGCTCCACCTCTGCAAGAGCAGCACARACTGAGATCAATTCCTCCCTCTTCTAACAGTTCCAACAGGATTTCTGTAGTTGCACCATCTGACCCTCCTCCAGTCTTTCAGAGATGCCCTCAAATCTCACAAATAAGCCTAGATCACATCCATCCCAGATTTCTCCCAGACTTGGGGTGACCAAACCCATCCTAAACCTCACTGCAAATGCTTCTCCCACCCCAGGCAGTTGCTCACTTTACCCACCACCACTGATCCAAGCAGCACCAGGGACCCTGAGGATCTCCTCTAAATTCTTCCARGTGGCAATGACAAGTTGAGGCTTGGCAAATCCAGAGCCTTTTTTGATGCTGGAGAAGTGATGTGGGCCCAGGTAGCTTGGCCAGGAGGACAGGCTGCTTCCCTGAGTGCTCCCCTCTGATGCTGAGGAAAAAAAAAAAAACAGCAGGGATAAGTCAGTGGAGCCAAACTGGCAGAGGAAAACTGCTGGKTTTTGATACCAAAAGGAAACTTCAGAGACCAAATCAATACTGAAGAACAATTTAGAAACAACCCCAAGCTRCCAGGAGGGAAATGTCCTGAGCAGCCCTACAAAGAGCAGATTTGCAGGCATGACCATTGTTTGGTGTCACTGCTAACCCATCAACACCCAGTATCCACAGAAAGACCAACTGAAAGTTACATGGCTTACAGGGTCTTGTGAAAACTATCAGATGGGGAGTGCCAGCCAACATTTTGTTTGACCAAAAGGCAGAATGCAGAAAGCTGATACAGAACTCCTAGCATCTCCWAAGGCACCAGTTTCACACCAGATTTGGTAGAAGCCTATCTTGAGAGAGCTGTTACCTCAAAGTCTTCAGCCAGAAGAACCTGAAATAATTCTTTTTTTTTGCTCAGGATCCTGGATGGAGCTGTCCCGGCTGTCAGGGTAGTCAGAGATTCACTTCCACCTCAGTGCATTAACGTGGAGTTACTTCAAAAGCATTTGTAWATGTCTTGCCAGTCCTTGAACTGAAAGCATTAAGAAGAAAGAAGTAATTTATATCAAACAAACGAAATATGGATGAAGCTCGTTCATGCACTAAAAAGAGGACAATCTGTGTCACATGTACATGTGAGGTGMAGAGATATTAGCACTTCTGAGGTCACTGTTAGAACTGAGGTGGAATTAGAATTTCCTCTGGTAGGATGTGCACCCTCCCATAAAAGATGATGCTCAACAGTCCTCTGTTGTTCTGTATCACCATCCCACACCAYCAAACAGGGATGGATCCTACTCAGGCAGTTCCCAAGGAAGCCTTTCAGTCACCGTGCAGTGGCTGTAGTACAGACCACACCTAAAAACCGACTGACAAGTGAAAAACTCTCCCCAGGTCACCACCCTCAGATGCCTGACTGATGTCTATGAAATCACCCCCATGTGAAAAGAAACATCTTGGCCTGAACTGTTCTCAGTAAAACCTATTTTTCAGGGAGGTAGGGTGGGGGGAAATGGATGGACAAACCTTTCTAAGTGTGACACATCTGGACTCGTGCCTGAAACTGTCCTGTGTGTAGGGAACTGGCAATGACTTACTGTTCCTTACCCAAAGGTAAATGGAAGCCACCTCACGGAGCTGCAGATCGAGGCCATCAACCAGGATCCTTTTTACAAACTCATCCCACGGAGTGCTGAGTCCTGGCTGCTAGAGAGACACTGACACACCGTGGCAAACGGGAAAACGCATCCGCAGGGATGCGGGATATTGCAGGATCGGTTCGGTTCGGCTCGGCTCGGCTCGGCTCAAATCGGATCGGATCGGATCGGCTCGGCTAGGGTCTGGTAGGCTCGGCTCAGTTCGGCTCGGCCCCTCTCGGCTTCGCTCGGCCCCGCTCGGCTTCTCTCGGCTTCACTCGGCCCCACTCGGCTTCACTCGGCTCCTCTCGGCTTCACTCGGCACCGCCTACCCCGGCCTTCACGCCCGCGCATGCGCAGACCGTGCCCAGCTCCCCGTGCAGCCTTCTGGATGCGTTTCCTGCGGTGAATTTGGAAGAGCATCGCCAGCGGGTCAGGGAGGTGATGATGCCTCTGTACTCAGCCCTGGTGAGACAATTCTGGAGTGCTGTGCCCAGTTCTGGGCTCCTTAGGGCAAGAAAGACAAGGAGCTACTGGAGAGGGTGGCAAAGATGTTTATGGGACTGGCCCATCTCTCCTGAGAAAAGGCTGAGGGAGCTGGGCCTGTTTGGAGAGGAGGAAACTGAAGTGATCTCATCAATACATACAAATATCTCAAAAGCGGGTGACAAGAGGATGAAGCCAGGCTCTTTTCACAGGCGACAGGTGCAATAGCCATAAACTAAAACGCAACCAGTTCCACCTCAGCACGAGGAGCAGTTTGTTTGCACTGGAACAGTGTGCCCAGGCAGGAGCGTGTCTCTCCGGAGCCATTGCAGAGCCACCCGGACGCGTTCCGGTGTCACCCGGGGCTCCACGGTCCCCTCAGAGCCGGCCATCCCGTGGTGCCGCGCGCGCGCCCCGCGGCCTCACGCGCACCCCGCGCACGCGCACGGCGCGCCCCTCCCTCCCCCGCCCGTCCCCCCGCGCAGGCGCAGTGGCGGTGAAGGCGCGCGCGGCGGGCGTTGTGCGGCAGCGGCGGCGGCGGCGCGGCCATGGCGGGGTCCGCGGGGTCCGGGGGCGGCTCGGCGCGGAAGCGCCTCATGAAAGAGGAGGACATGACCAAAGTGGAGTTCGAGACCAGCGAGGAGGTGGACGTGACGCCCACCTTCGACACCATGGGCCTGCGGGAGGACCTGCTGCGCGGCATCTACGCCTACGGTGGGCGGCGGGGACGGAGGGGGAAGGGGCGAGGGACGCGGGGCTGAGGGGACGAGCGCAGGCCCGGGGGGTTGGGGGCCGCGGCAGGGCCCGGATGTGGGCGCCGCGCCTGCGCCGTGCGGCCGGTCTGTGGCGGGGCCTGCGCTGACCGTGTCCCTTCGCCCCCTTGGCAGGGTTCGAGAAGCCGTCGGCCATCCAGCAGCGAGCCATCAAGCAGATCATCAAGGGCAGGGACGTGATCGCCCAGTGAGTGCGGCCGGRGGGTGCCGGTCACATTGGCTGCAAGCGGGATCGGCCACTGCGGGCCTGGGCTGGTGCTTGGCAGGGTGTGGGGAATAACCTGAGGGTGCTGGGACACTGGGACAGCTCTGGATTTCCCATCCCTGGAAGCGTTCCAGGCTAGGCTGAATGGGGCTCTGAGCAACCCGCTCTAGTGGAAGGTGTCCCTGCCCACGGCAGGCGGGATGGAGCTGGATGTTCTTCAAGTTCCCTTCCAATCCAAACCACTCTGTGGTTTGATGACATGGCAGGCAAAACAGTGAAATTGCCTAACTTGGTGCGATCCTAACAGTTGTTAATGCTAAAGTTTATTAGGTTCAGTCACTGTAAAAAATATGTCTTAAGAAACAAATCATAGCTTAAGAGACAAAGAATGATATGCACTCCACTGAAAAAAAAATACTTTGTCCCTAGTGGGAATTATGAGCCTTGCAAATTTCATTGGCTTGTCTGTCACTTGCTTGGAAAAAGTATATGTGTGACAGATGGCAGAAAGTTAAAATGCTAGGCTAATAAGGAGTAAAGATGCCAGAGCTGGGGACTCTGGAGTGCYCTGTCCCTGATACTGCAGTTCTCAGAGTTGCTTGACAGCAGATCTGGCTCTGATCATAACAAGCCTTTGTTGGCACTGTTGAGTTCTTTGCAATKGAGGGGTGGGAAAGAGCAGAGGGGTGAAATGTGTTTAAATTGCCTGTGCTGTTTGTCCAGACATTCAGAGTGTTCACCAAAGATCTCTTTCTCAGGTCACAGTCAGGAACGGGGAAGACAGCAACATTCTCCATCTCGGTTCTACAATGCCTGGATATACAGGTAATTTCACAGCACGTGCTAAAAATTTTACTAAATCACTGTTCTTCATCATAAAAGCGTGTTAAGACTGAATAAATGAGGCTTAGTATTGAAATCTTTTAATTATGGGCAGTGAAATCTTTTAATTATGTCTGAATCTCAGACAGAATTCTGACTGAAAACTTCGCCAGACTCTACTCTGTAACAATTTAACTGTTAAAGCCAGCCTGGCAAAATAAGTTCAGATAAAGTCGTGTAATCATAAAGTTGGCTTTRACAGCTGACCTGTTTCACCTTTTAGAGTGCTAAATTAATCTCTTWGCAARCAGAATTGTCTTCAGACAGTCCTAATRGCATCATCAGCCTGTCTGAACAATTGACACACATTGCACAGARTCAAACCTGGATTTTTGACTGACATATATTTGCTTTTGTTTTGCATCATGTCCATCCAATAGTTTTGGGGTGCAGCTTGGATGTGTAGGTGCTRTTGAATAAAAGGATGGTTTTCTGTGGGGTGGTATCCTCTTAAGGCTTGGATTGTTGCACATCTATCACTGTCTGGTGACATAAAAATAAAGATTGCTTAGTCTAAATGGAAAGGTCAGCTTTTGCTTAATTTCTACAAAGTTCTYATAATACTTTTCGGAGGTGACACTTAAAAAYATTGTCTTGGAAACCTTGTGCAATGAAAGGTGTGTATCTGAACCAAACAGCAGAATTGAAGGGTTTGAAATTYGTTTCTATTTTGCAGGAAAAGTACACAGGTTTGGTTTTTTTAGCACAGAATTCTGTGATAAATCCTTCAGCTGTGACATTCAGAGTACTGTGAATCCATCATCTCTTGTTTTCTTGGCTCTCTGGGCTGTGATTAACTCCCGTGTGATCCCCTGTTTTAACCAGGTTCGTGAGACCCAGGCCTTGATCCTGGCACCGACTCGGGAGCTGGCTGTGCAGATTCAGAAGGTAGGARCATTTCAATCCCTGTCTGGAAGGCACTGGCAAGGCCTGGGGACAATGCTTTGGTGTTTCCCCAGCAGAGCTCAAAGCACAGATTCCACTTTTTCTCTCTGTTCCTGAGAGAAATAGTAACAAACAATCATCTGAGAGGGGCTGTTTGCTCATCTGCATTAGATTCATTACTTCAGCAGTCTGAGGTTTTGCCCTAACTGAGATTTTAATGCCAGCTCTTCTAAAGCAGTTGTGATCCCTGAGGAACTGAGTTCCCAGTGTTTGAATGCCTGCTGTGGTGAAATCTGGGATAACAGACATTAAAAAAATCCCTCCTAGCTCTTTGTGCTAACACCTCTTTAAAAAAACCACAGCATGATTCCACAGACCTGCAWCTCTTCACAAATGCAGCCTCAGGAGAGTTTCAGTAATTAATTCCTTTCTTTGTGTCCACACAGGGCCTTCTTGCCCTGGGAGACTACATGAACGTGCAGTGCCACGCCTGCATCGGGGGCACCAACGTGGGGGAGGACATCCGCAAACTGGATTATGGGCAGCACGTTGTGGCTGGCACCCCAGGCCGGGTGTTTGGTAAGGAAATTACCACATTTATTGTTACACCAATAATGTAACTTTGTTGTGAAGTATAACAAAGTAGCAACTTATTGCTGTTGCACCTGGAAAAGTCTGGAGAAAAATGTGGGGGGATGATGTTTTTATTTTCTCTGTTTACATTTTGTTGTTCATTGTTGCAGTCACTCTTTATGTGGTGGCTTAGGAAAAAAGAGTGTTTTTAAGGAGAAAATATTACAGTCCCAGAAAATATTTCAGAATCTTTGAGGGGWTAGGAGCCAGGTCTCCATGAATGCCAAAATTAGCTCTACATTTTCTGTGTCCTGGTGGTTGCTCCCTCTGTGTTAAATCAGTTGCAGCTCATACTTTGTGGTTTCACTGCATGAAGTTTCACATTTTCTGCCCCTGGCAGTTATCACAAAGGTAGTGCTGGCTTTAAGCTCACATCTTCTGGGTCTCTGAGAAACACACAGCCCTTACACAAGCTCCTGTCACTGGGAGAATGTGAGCTAATCCCCACAAGTGAAACAAACAAAAATTAGCAGTTGCCAAAATGGGCTGACTCACAAACAGGATTTGTGGATTSTGTTGACATAAAGTTCACCTGGCAGTTTGTGTTTCTCACATCTGTCCTTCCACTAGCGAAATGCCCTGACAGTGATGGGAACAGTATGGGCTCACTTGCTTTCAGTGTATTCTCTTCTCATAAAATGAAATCTTGCAGATATGATTCGTCGCAGAAGTTTAAGAACTCGGGCCATCAAAATGCTGGTTTTGGATGAAGCAGATGAAATGCTCAATAAAGGTAAAACATTTGTCTCCCTTTCACTTGCTGTCTCCTTGCCTCTTTGAGATGATAGGYTGTCCCAGCTGGCAGGCCCACTTCTGAAAACTGTTTTTTACTAAATTAGATGATTATAGCTAATTATAGGCTGTAATGGGTTAAACTACATAATATGCCTTGTCTGATATTGCTGATCCACACATTTATGTATCCCATAGTATAGACCTACTGAATCCTAGATCAGATTGAGAAAGAGGAGGATATTTGGGAGAAAGATGTGCTCACTGTTGTGTGTGGCTTGATTTGCACCRCAGGCTTCAAGGAGCAGATTTATGATGTGTACAGGTACCTGCCTCCRGCCACGCAGGTGGTTCTGATCAGCGCCACTTTGCCCCATGAAATCTTGGAAATGACCAACAAATTCATGACAGACCCCATCCGCATCTTGGTGAAACGGTGAGTGGCTTTTCTTGGGGAGAACAGGAACTCTGAGTCTGTCCAGCCCTGGGCAGTTCACAGTTAAGTGATTTATACGTACACAGAGTCAAGTTCCTTCTCACTATTGCCTGAGCATTTGCAGATGTTGCTCATGTCCTGTTTTCCAGCAGGGATTGACTTGTCTCCCTGACTTTATCCCTGTCCTGTGCTGCTGCTCAGCCTGGCTGCCCCCTCATCCTCCCCATGAATAGCA